TATTATGGGATTTTTGGGATTATATTGGATTTTTCGGATTATCATGGGATTTTTCGGATTATCATGGGATTCAAAAATCCCAAAAATCCGCCTTTTCCCCCTTGGATCATCCGGTAATACCACATTTCATCGAGCGGAAAAATTGCATCCTAGTTCCTTAGATCTTGCTGGTTCCAATACGATTCGCTTTTCCTTCTCTCAACTATTAACTGATTAACAAGAATTAAAATATGAAAACAATGCAGAACACTAATGATCAAATAATAAAATGAAGAAATGAACTTAATTAAATTTAAATTAGATAAAACAAATAACACTTTTTTCTACTTTGATTGTTAATGAAATCACGATTGATTCTTTTTAAAATAGGTACCAAAATTAAAATGTTTTATATTGAAGAGTTCTATTGACAGTGATTTAGAATTTGTTTATTTAAAATGGCTTCTTAACAATCTTAATCATATAACAAAGCTTAAAATTTATTTAAGAGGTTCAGGAACATGGAGAACAGGTCAATTAATATGGAAATCTGTTATTGATGCAAATTTTATTCGTCATCATTGTTTACCTGATAAAATAATTAATTTAAAATACTTTCATTTCTATATCGGTAGAACATGTGAATTATCGTTAGTTAATATTGAAAACACAATTAACTCTTTTATAAATGATCCTTTTTTTATTTCACATCAATGGACAAATATTAAATGTTTCTATGATAAAAACGAGTCATATCAACATATTTTTTCTTCTAATTTCAATAAACCACAGCTCTCTAATAGTTTATTGTACGACATTTAACTTAGGGAAGTTTTTGGTCTAATTATTTTCTTTATCTAGTGTTCAGCCAAATATGTATGATTGGTCAGATAGTCGACATATTTGGTTTGTTTTTGATCCATCTCTTTATTTATTTCTCGATCAATTGGATAAACAATGTCCTAATGTTTCCTCTATCACAATTCATACAGGTAAATATTTTTCTCAATCATTTTTGGTCCAGAGAAAAACTAAACAAGTGATAAAGTTTAATGAATATTATAGCGAGAAATAGTGGAGACTTAAGTTTTGATGTCTCACGTCTAGACATGTGCGGGACTAACTTTTTTTGGTCCCGGTTCCGGTCCCGGTGAAATTAAATTTTGTTTGGTCCCGGTCAAAATTTTCCGTTGGTCCCGGTCCCGGTGGAAAATTTCCTTTGGTTCCGGTCCCGGTGGAAATTTTCCTTTTGCTCTTGGTCCTGGCGAAAGTCTGTTTTTTAGTCCTGGGCTTGGTTAATACATTCGCCACGATGTGGTCTAACAGCGAGCCACGCTATATTTTAACGGGAAACTGTATAGAAAAGTACTTTATTTTTCTTTGTTCTTAGACAGGAGGTTGAACATAATGTTTTGTCTGTTCTACTCTCAGAACTCTTTTTGAGTCCTTTATTCCATAGCATGATGAGTCTTGTTAAAACAATCAAGACAAAAAAAATTATTGGTCACAAGAGAACGTTTTTACTTTCTTTGCTACCGCATAGCTCGCTTCTCTTGACTGTTGTGCCCTTTCTTTCGCAAAGCAGCCAGTACAGCGTCTGTCGACATTGCCCGTAGATCCTTCATTTTCTTCGAGCTTGCTATTAGTGAATTCGCGCTTGAATTGGGTTGCTGATTCAAGTTCTCGAATGGAATGTCATGCAGAAATGACCTCACAGAACTTTCGCCAAAAAGCAGAATGGTTACTTTGCTTCATGTGATATTACAAACGGAAAAGAGAAAACGACAGATCAGCATAGAATGAAAAGACCAAGCAGTGCATTTATCGAAAGATGAATGCACACGAAAATGAATCTGTAGAGCTATTCTTTAATAAAACCGAATCGTGTCGAATGTGTTAAATTTGGTTTTTGTTCTACATCCAGTCTTAATAACCTTACTTTTTCTGCTATTTGTCCATAGTCAGAGAAGTTGTTGCAGAATCTGCCGGTTTTAGATCTGGAGCAGTTCTCACTCGTATTTCAGCCGATGTTTCTTGTCAACAGCAGACATGACCGGGACTAAAGTGTTTTTCGATGCTGGTCCCGGTCCCGGTGAAATTCTTTTTTTAGTCCCGGTCCCGCACATGTCTACTCACGTCACATCACCAAGTTTTATCAAGTGCTGAAATTATACTTTTGAATATGTTATGAAATTTCTAGAAGTCTCATGATGTTATTACAAATTTCAAAATACTCTACGAAATCTATTAAGTCTTACAAAGATATTCACAAATACTGTGAAGTCTTGAAATCATTTGTTTCTCTTCCGTGAATACTAATAAATTCTTCGTTGTGAACGTTGTTTTGCTCATAAATATAAACAATCAATAAAGTTCAAAACTTCACATTTATTCATTTAGTTAAAGTAATTCAATACACAACAAAATACGAATATTATAAGACATCTATCTTGGAAAGATATTTATATTTTTTGTCTTGTTTTACATTTTACTGTATGAGTTAAAGCAAGAGTTTATCAATATTAGAAAATTGTATAGATGCTGAAGAATAAAACTTTACATAAAGATTGAATAGAATTTTTTCTAATCCACTTGTTATTGTATTTTTGATAAAGTATAATAGAAAAAATTTCAATGATATTAAGTAAAATTCAATGAAATTCTTTTTGTAGAACATCATATCAACGAACCAAACAGGATGACAACAATATCCAAAGTTGGAGAGAAGAATCTAAATGATATTCAACTTCGAAATGTTACAACACTTAGATTTGGAAATTGTCGTGGTCGTAGAGTTGGTATGTATAGATTGTCTTCTTTGTCAAAATTGATGAATGAAAATACAATTGATCTTTTCTTCTATCTTATGATTATTTCAGTTGAATGGATTCTATGTTTTGAATCATTCTAATTTTATTATTTAAATGTTAGAAATGAAAATAAAAAAGATTATTAATTATTCTATGTTATCATATACTGTACATTAATGATTTTCTCACTAAGACATCACTTAATATCTTTTTAAAACTACAATGATTCCATTCAAACTATTTAAATAATGGATCATATCTCGAAATACATTCTCTAATATATATTAATTTTTTGTTAACAGTTAATTGAAATATCTTTTAGACAATAGTTAAGAAAATAATTAAACTTATTGTACTCATCTTAAATAGTCATTAATCAAATAAATTGCGAAATTAATATGTAAGAAATAATTCAACAGTTTACATTATAAAGAAGCAAATTTAGCAACAGGTATTGAGCTGTTTTAATTACTCAAAATTTTCCCTGTATGTTTCTGATCGTAGAAATTATTAATTTTAAGATATTATAGAGAATATGCAAAGATAGAATTCTTAAATTTTATTCTCATCTCACAAATCGAAACAGATACTCGGAGAGCGTGACGAGTAGAGCGTGTCGGATCCAGAAAATCAGGATCTCGATATGGACCGGATTAATTAATTTTTCGAACTTGGATCCTTAATCAGATCTTAACCTTATTCTTAATATTTTCAAGGAAATAGTTGTAATATATGAATTTGATACTAGCTTCGCAGCTAGAAATTTCTTTCTTTTTCGCTTATTTGTATCAGTGATTAGCACACTTAACACATCTCTGATGCAAACTGGGCGATGATATCATCATAATCAAGTCATAATTGAATTTTACTTCTAACTAAAGTCTTTCAGATCCAAAGTTCTCGGACCCGAATCCTATCAACGGAAAATTTTTGGATCCCAGTCTGTCGATACACTTGATTCTTGTGGTAAAATGCAGTTGGATTTTATCAGAATTACATCAATTTTGACTTGATATGATAACCCATTTAGGATAGGAAATGTATGAGATTGGTAAAGTGTCTATCACGATCTATAGAAGAGTGACCAACTCTAATTATGAACGAAATACAAATAAACTTGCATCTTCTTTTTTCCTTATAAAGTTATCAATCCTTGTTTGTATGATTTGAAATGATATTGTTTTTAATATAAATGATATCTAAACGAGATTTCTTTTCCTAGCTTCTTGTGGTATATTAAAAGATCGAGATAAAGTACGTGCGAAAATATTTGCTCATCTTCTTTCAATGCCTGTTCAACTCAAATATCTTTTTATTCAAAAATTCGAATGGTTTTTATATGTTATTCAATATGTAAGTATTCATTTTATTTTAAGTTATTTTTTTAAGAAATAACAGATTATTGATAAGAGAATTTAAATTTTATTTCACTTAGAAATAGTTTCGTTAAATTTTATGTTGATCTACTTCAGTTTTTTTATTATATGCATGTTTATTTACAAACAAAGTGAATATAAAAAGGTAAATTAATTTTTAGGCCGCTGATGAATTGCGAAAAAATGCATTGACTACTATTCGATATGCTGAATTTGGTATTCCAAGTTGTAATCTTGGTAGAAATGAATCGATTGATATTGGTAAACATCTTATACCTCTTCTTAGTACTTATATGCCGCATTTACATACATTACAACTCTGGAGACCAGATGATTTTCTTTGGACATCTCGTAAGTTATTTTTAAATGAAACATAATTCCTCAAAAATATTAATGAAAAAGCATTTGTTTGATCTTGTATCTTAATGTGATTTACTTGAATCCGATTAGTTAAATAATGTTTTTTCTATAATAATATAGAATTGAAAATATGATAACATTTTGTTTTTCGATTTATGAAAACAAGCTTTTTCCTTGTCATACCAATTTTGATTTGACCATATCTACTTCGAGTTAACAACTATCTGATGAAAAAACTTATTGGTGCAGCTCACAATGAAGTTAAATAGAAAAATCACTTATTCTTCTTATATTTATCATAATAATATATAATGTATACGCCTCGAAGAAAGCTAAATCTAAGCATACATCGAACCCAAATATTCAGGAATTCGGTTCTGAGTTCAGTTATTTTCAGTTAATTTGTAAAAGAAGGTACGAGTAAGTCAAAAGAAAGATTTGAAGACCGGGTATGATGTGTCAAAGGAAAACAAGCGTAAACACTACGCTCACCCTGAATCTCACTTGTCTTCAACCAGACACACACACCTATTCACCCTTTTTATCGAACAAAACAAGTGAGTTCAACTATCGTATAGACTTAACGCATGAAAAGTAAAACGTAATGTTAGAAAAGTATTCTATCATTCTCGAGTTGTTTTAATTAGGGATCGATCAGTTCCAGATTATGATCTTAGCACAAAAGAGCAAAAAACCTATTGAAACAGTTTAGTTCTAACTAATGATCGACCGAATTCAGTAACGATCAATAACTTCTCGCAACTAACAACATCTTGATATCTGGAAACCTTCGGGATATCCTAGGTAACTGGACGGAATCCCTGGGACCCCTCTGGACCTACCTAGGGGTACTCGACACCCGTTAGAAGCCCTAGAGGCTTCCGAGTATGTTCTCTATATACATGTTGAGGAGTTTCAAGTACCTCCTGTGTAGCCGTACGGAGTTGAGGATATCAGTATGTTGTTAGTTACGAGAAATTATAGATCATTATTAAACAAAGTCGATCAATTTTTATCAAAGATCATTCTCAACAGTTCTTTAGATCCGATCTAGAACTAAACTTGCCGATCTCTAGTTTTAATTCATTAGAACGATAATTGACATGTTAGGCTAAAAACGATGAAAAACTAGTCAAGGACTTGTATTTCAAGTAAGAAAATATGTTAAAAATACATTTTTTTCCCGACAATCTTGCAACAAAGGTAAAAAGAACATTTTCTAATGAGTCATTTTTTGTTTAATGAAAGAAAAAGAAAAAATTTTTGAATTTCTGATATTTATCTCTAATCCTTAGTCTACTTTGTTTTTTAATTCTTCCAGTTCGACCAAGTCATAAATATGGCCGGCATTATGGACCGTTTATAACACGATGGAAGCGATCTTTATCAACACTTGAATCTATTAGTATGTAATTCAAATACATCTACAGAAGATAAAAAAACTAATTTCCTAATATTATTGTTATTTAGATGATCATGCAACGGTTTTTGAACAAGATCTTTCTCAATTAGTTGAGCAACTAAAAGAATTTATCTTTCTGGATATTCGTGGCATAATTCCTTGTGAAAAAGTAGAACCTTATCGTTTAATGGCTCAAACTCGTTTTCCAAATAGTCGAATTGATGTTCAACTAACAAGATTTCGTCTTTGGATATAATTTCTTTGTTTCATTATGACATAGATGTGTCTTAAAGATAGGTGTTCTTTTTTTAATTATTCTTTTCTATTTATTTTTGTTATTCTTCGTTCTTCAAAAAATATAAATTCATACTCATCTGTAATACGATCTTTTTTCTAAAACTCTGGCATATCAACAAGAATCTACAATCAACAGTAATATTGATAAAAAGAGACATTATCAGCCAAAGTTGTAACTGATTCAGAATTTTCAAACCAATCTGGTACAACAGTTTCAAAATACTTTTTTTATAGGTAAAAATCAGCAAAAAATCAGCTGATTTTCTTAGATCATTGCCCGCCGGTTAATTCATGTATTATCAATTCAAACAAAAAACTTTTTAATAGTCTACCAAAAAACCATTGATTGAGTTTATCTTTGTTTCGAGCCTGAAAATAATATTGACCAATTAAATTAAAGTACAATTCATATTCGAATAGTATTTACTAATATATATTATTATGGTCTCTTATCTTTATTTTATTTTCGATGATTAAATAATCGTCAAATATCATCAGTTCAACGATATAAGAAGAATAATGATTATCAATAGAAATATTTCATTTCAAATAAATTAGCTTTAAAATGTGTGTAGATATGCTTAAATCTTGTACAGGTTTAAATCATCAGTTTATTACAAGTATAATATTGACAAATAAATTAGATTTTTGACAACTAACTTTATATTCAATGACAACATATTATATATGATTGGTATATCTATATATGAATATGTAGTAGGCACGTTTTAATCATGTATAAAACAACGTTACACAAGAGCAACTAATAATTACTCTTTCAAACATTTGACATAATTCATAAAAATTCTCATTATTTTCTGATATTTGCTTGCTGTACTGTGATTGTCGCTATTTGACGTCTATTTAATTTTCATACATTAGTAAAATTTCAATAAATTGAAAAAAATGAATGTCAATGTCAACACCGAATTGCATTTAACTGGTGAGATAATATTGTTATTCTATGGTAGATATGTTCATATTTGATATTCGATTGGTAATCGTCTGATGTTATTCTTGTCTATGATTGAATCCAATGTCTCGATATTGAACTTTAGGAAAAATGAAAACTAAGCACATTTATGTTAGACACGTTACAAATTGTTCGACTTACTCTTAAATCGAATCAATAACGATTTTATCTTAACATAAGCAGTGACATTCAAGATTGTTGAAGACTATTATCTTTACTTAATATAATGATAAACAATGAATATATAGTGTCAACGATTTATTTATTAATTATATTAATTATATTAATTACATTTGTCAGTGAATTATATTATTTAATATAATATTGATCTCTCATTCTATTATAAAGAAATATATATATATATTAATTATAATATTCTATGATATAGATTAAAATTGAATTAATACTAAACATATTTATTTTCTTGTATTTATCCTATACATAAACATGATAGTTATGTATTTATCATAAGAGAACTTTTTACTGCTTGCTCATAGAATAAGACATTGATTAAGAATCGTATTTGAAAAACATCTTGATATTGATTATGAGACTGGATGGATGATTAAAACTAACGATGATTTCTCCTCTTTGATCATTTCGACGAGGTCATAGAATCGATCGTTTTTATAACGATCATAAATCATAAGAGAAACTATTTTGTTGTCCACAATGACAGTTGTTGACCCATTTAGTTGATTATTGCGATGTCCTTTTCCATTTCTCCAGCCCCCACCTTTCCATTCCACCATACGATGATTACAAGTATTAGCGATAGAGATTTTTTTTTATCATTATCAAATATAGATATCAAATAGAGAAGACAGTTGATTTAATTGATTTTCATATTCATGACAACTTTTTTGAATGAGACCGTTTTGTTTCTATTTGTAATTAATTAGAATAATTAGAATATGGAATGTACTAAAACTAAATAATAAGGCTTATTTTTAATCTAGCAATTATACTTTAATGTATGGAAAAATAATAAATTCTAGTGAATTTATGTTTTAAATTTTTAAGAAAAAAGATTAATCTTAACTTTTCGCTAATTTTCTATAGCTAAGTATTTACATCGATATGTTATTTTTATTAAAAGATTTTTCTCTAACTCACATATCTCACGAGAGAAAATAGTCTTCTATCATTCAACTATGATATATGCATGTAGCAAAAGATGTGATAATCAATAGTTGGGTGTGGGTGTGGGTGTATGTTCGGGCTAAACCAAGGATATCCACATCTACAAACACCCACACCCACATCCTTTCGAAATCTCATATTTAAACAAAACGAGTTTATTCGTGATAAATACATACCCCTTCATATAGCATCGTTTAATCACTATGAACTTATGAGTTTTATTATCGAAGAATATAACGATTAATATACTATAAACAGATTAACTAGTTCACTCGACAAATTACAACACAGTTTAGATAATTCAAATAATTATATTTTCAAACAAAGTTATTTATCTACTGTACGAACCATTATTATATCATATGTAATTATATCATTCTTTATTGAGAATGTAAACGTTTAAGAATTTAACATCTTAATTACACAATGAATATATATATATATATATACGAAAAAAAAATCGATCTTTTTTGATTGATACGAATAGCTTAAATAATTTTCAATTATTGAAAATCAAGAAAAAATCTGAGAATATATGTTCTTTTAAATATTGGAAATATTTTACCAATTGATTAAAAAATAATTTCAATCTTATGAAAAATCTCATAGAAACTTCGAAAAAATTCTTATTCATCAAATTATTCTTTGTTTTAAATGATTAAAGCAAATATATTTATCTAAGTTTGAATTATTAATCGAAGCCAATCTATTCATTTAATTCAATGGTATTATGCTATTATTATCAATCTATCTCGAAAAATTATTTATTTTATTCTCATACTAGCACAACTATCCACCGTTGACTGGCAAAGTTCACAGTTAATATATGCAAATAATACTCATTTCTCTTTGAGACTATCTGAGTATAGAATAATAACATTGAAAGGTTGCTCCCAGATGAGGAATCCTTCATCGCTATATGTCTACATCGAGAAGAATTTCCTTGTTCATATTTATTTTATAGAGATTCTATATATCCAAATGCATCTCGGAGCATATACTAATCTCAATGGGTTCTCATCCCGACTGGCTCTTATCTCACCTGGTCAGGGCTTCACTTCCGATTCCGTAGTTGTCTGGTTCTATATTTAGAGAAAATCCGTTTGGGAAATCGATTTTCCGACAAACATCCAAGGAAACTCCGCTTCTATCAATACTCAACACGACCAGACATCTACTTCGTCTAGAACTTCGATTTTACAATATCTATTGAACAGGAGAGTTACGAGAGTGTGTCGTGCTTTACACTGCTGAAAACACACTGAATTTTAATTGGTTGCAAACAAAGACAGATAAAAAGATCTTCGTGCAAAAGATCTGTTAAAAACTTAATCGCTGAAATCTATGAACAACAAAATCTTGAGTCTAACACACTACTTATTCGAAATTCCCACCGGAGATCATCTCTAAAGTATCACTTTCTCTAAAACTCTATGTGTATTTGACATGGCTCACACAATTGACCCACCAATCGTCCAGTAAGGTTTCATGATCGACAGATTTCCGATTCCTAATGTCCTTATTGCCCTTGTTCAATGATATTCGTTTACTTGAAAACTTGGTGATTGTTGGTTGTGGACTAATAACTAAGTTATCGAGGTGAACGGACCCCATATTCGAACTCATGGCCCTCGAAAGCCTGTTTCCATATTTTCTGTGTATGTTGACGAAGTGTTGCTCAATAGTACTTTACCACCGAATACTGCAATCTTATTGGTCAGCAACATAGACATGCTTTTTCTGGCCGAAGGAACAATTCTTTTTGAAAAAAAAAAGTAGCTGTTGACCTTCGTCCTGAATAAAAGGAGAATTCTTGGAAAGTTTGCTTGCATTTGCTCGTACCGTGTCCAAATCCATGAAGAACAAACAAACCTATATGAATTATATACAGAAATATTTAAAAATCGATGTATTCTCATTTTTTCCATAAGAAAAAGTGACTAGAATTTCTATTATTTTTTTTTAAATAAATTGAACCATATCACAGAATAAAACGTCTGCGAAAAGATTAAATTAAATGTATTAATTCACGACGATATAATGAAGTTTCCAATGTATAAATATAAAAACTTGTACAATGATTGAAATTACAAAGAAGTACAGAACATTTAATAAATACAACTAATTGAGAATCTGCATTATATTGATGAACATGAAGTAACATGAGAATAGAAAATGGTAATGTACAAATTATATTTGTTGCTACATAAAGAAAAAGTATTTTCAGTATAAAAAGAATCTTTTAGAAAAAGTCTGCTTGTTTCAATATATTGCTTCTTTTTTATTAAATAAATATATCAGAAATAAAAATGAATAAACACACATTTCATAAAACAACAAAACATGTAACCTAAGGTAGAACTTTTGTTTTTAAAATATATTATATGTTAAGAAGCAGAAAATGTTCAAAACAAAGAAATGAAGTTTAATAGAAATGGCATTCGAAAATCTCATAGAACTGCTCGAGAAAATAACAATATACTCACGTAGCATAAGCTTAAATTATTTCAACATTATATTCATATTCAACTGATTCATTTAGTTCATTTTCTATTTAAAAATACTTTTCAAAACAAACTAACGAGTGAACCTCTACAGGTGTCAAATCGTTTTTCGGCGGAGACGATCTTTATTTGTTGAGTGCTAGTGAGTAGGAGAGAAGTCTAGAATGATTTTGTCTTCCGGACCTTCATTCTTGATATATCGAAATCTTACGGCGTTCTCTAACCAAAACCTATGCTTCCCCTCAGGTAACACGGAAAATCAACTTTCGACTTCAAACTTTTCACAAACAAACTTCTCAATGAGACTAGTTCATTGAGCAAGTTGTAATTTTTCTAGTACTTCATGTTCCGAGATATTGAATATTCGCAATTCCATCTTGTGTAAAAGCAAACATTGTATATCTTGAGAAAAGAAATACTAGAAAAGTTACAGCTTACTCAATGAGCTAATCTCATTAAGAATTTTGTTCATGTCAAGTTTGGAGTCAAAACTCGAAAGTTGCATTTCTATGTGACCTGAGGGTATAACCCATCGGGTCCGGCTCTGAAAATTTTCTTTCAACCGGATCCGGGTCCAGAAAATCTTGGACGCGATGGGCTTTATCTGGGAAGACTAGCGCTGTTTTTTGACAAAAATCTAGTCAAATTTCGGTATGTTAAGAACGAAGGTCCAGGAAAGCAAATCATTCTAGACTTTTCTATCATTGACTAGTACTCATCAAATAAACATTATCTCTGTCGAAAAGCGATTTAACACATGGAGAGATTCCATCCATAGATGAAACCGGTACCGGTTACCGGCAGATCCAGTCCGGTACCGGTCTGGATTTCGGATCGATCGGTCTACCAATCCGACTGGTCCAAATCGGTCCATACGTACCTGTATTGGTCTGAAAAAAATTAGACCACTTCCATCTATAATTCCCTCATAAGCCTCGAAACGTTACCGAAAGTTCTGTGAAAGAAAGAAAAATATTCATACTAATTATCTGAACGTCCTTTATGAATAATCTATTAATTGATAATCACGATTATAACGACGTTTATATGGTAAGATTATTCTTAATGGATAGTTTTTTTTCTTGTTTTTGACGATGACGATGTAATAATATTAATGTCCAACTAGAAAATATCGACATCAATATAGGTGGTAAAAGACAATAAAAAACTAAAAGTAAATAACTAAGAAAATGATAATAAGAAAATATTAAAGGATGACATATTGAATAAATTATATTATATTGAAATAGAATATGAAAATAAAAAAGAAATATTGGAATAATTGTTATTACAATTTTACGAGCTATACGTGGAGTAGCAATATCTCGTAAAGAACTATATTTTGATGTTCGATATAAACGATCAATGCAAACCAAAACAATAGAATAAGGTGATATACCGTATAGACGATAGGTTGCATATGTTCGAATTTTACAATACCATAAATATTTCATAGTTAGATCAATATGAAATTGATCATTAAGCCTTTGTGTTAATAGAATAATATGCAAAACAAGAAGATCATTGAATGATAAAACTCGTAACTACACGATACATAGAACGTTAACAAATACAACGAGCAAATCTTCTATGAAAATATTTAAAAATTATTTTTTAATTAAATTTAAATATTAACAAAACTGGAGAAGACAAAAAAAACGTGTGTTTATTTATGCAATAAATCTTGTAAGCATGTTCAAATAGATAATCCATAAAATTGATTTATTATCTAAAAAATGAGATCAGTTAGAGGAAAATCAATAAAAAGGTCATGTGTTGATTGATTTATTCAATAATATTCTTTTATAAGTCATTCGATGCATACCATAATCAACTTAATCAGACAGCCTAAACTTGTATTTTCACTGGGAAGTAGTTATTAGCTTCTTAGTATATGAAATGAATGTTTGAATATTTTACCAAAAAACCTCTTCAAGTTTTCCTCTTCAAAAAAACAGTCAATTTTCGTCTGGAAAATTCAAATTGAAATGAGAGTTCATGATGCAGAATTTTTAATCATTTTCGTCATTTTCTACTTGAAAAATATTTTTTTTTCACTATTTCTTTGTTTATGCCTTTCTGATCACTCAACCCAGACGACTTCTCGGTCTGTCCTATGGCATATATAATTAATTTTGTTTTTTTTTGTTTGAAAAAGCATGTCGAGATATAGGAAATGACACAGTTCTTTTTTTATTGAAGGTTTATAACCATTATATAGAAGAGTACTTTTCGAGTTAGAACACCATGTATTGAGAGTTGTTCGGAAGATTGAACTTTTCCCCACTTACAAAATAAGAATTTTTAAAAAAATAGTTTTTTCATGCTTTACATTTTGAAATGCTTTTTCAAACAAAAAACCATGAAGTATATTAGATGAAGAGTTACAAAGAATATTGTGTGGATGTGCTATTTTTAACCTTTGTTTGGTGAATATCTCACAAAAACGTTATGGTAGTATATCATGGCTTATATCAAATGGTTGTTATCGTAATTATGATAATATGAAATATAAGAGCTAGAAGACACATCAACTTAAATTTATTCAAATAGAGGAAAAATCGATCGATATCATTTAAGAGAATTTATTTAGTAAATTTTTTTGAGAGATAAAAATTGATATTCTCTAAAATGATTCATAGAGATTGAACTTTGTTTATTAACAGTAGCCGTGCTAAAAAAAAATTATTCTCGATGTATCGAATCTTAGAATAATGACCATTTATCAATAGTGTATTCTAGATAGGGTAGGTTTATTTTCGATATACCCATTTCTTTTGCAGAGATGGTCGCATCTCTATCATATTAGCTGTTAGACTCTATTGCTAGCAACTTTTCAAAAAGCTGTTAGCGCAATCCCTGTAGAATTAGAATGTGATACACCATGTAGTTGCTCTTGATAATCAGAGACATTGTTGTATTCTATCGATTTGGGAATAGATTTCTTCGCCATCTCCTTTCACTTAATCCTCGAGAAATGCAAAAAGGAAATAATTCATATAGTTATTATAACGAGACGCTATTGACATACAATTTGTGATGCGGGAACGAAAGTAGGCAGGAAATATTGGTAAAGCATCTGCCATGGTCACGTCTGTGCAGGTAGAGCCCATCGGGTTGGTTCTGAGTCCGAAAATTTTCGACTCTAAAGGCTCTAGTAGGGAGAGGTGAAATTTTTCCCTCTATAGTTCAACACTAGCTTTAGATCGTGTTTCACCAAATAAATGTACATGAAATGCTGGAAAGTTAAGAGAAGGAATCTAGTCGTTGACAGACTCATTCTTTATTAGATATCGTTTGTTTTATTAGCTTATTTTGATGGTTATTTGTGAAATTGATGAATTAAATCGTAATAAATTTCGATTAAAATTTACTCTGATAATTATCGTTCTCTAATCAAATACTTTATCGTGGGATTTTTCAACTTCATGTGATTGTTTGTACGCCAGTGTTCAAAAATGAAACACTTGTTTTTTTTTTTGCAAGACGTCTTATAGCATCGAAAGATGAGAAAAAAAATTCTTCAGTGATCGTTAGTTGCGGCCGTCAGGCAACCGTTTGTTCGTCGGCCCTTTCTTTTTAGGTGTTGTACACGTCTCTGGGTTTTTTAACAAAATATATTCCTATTAAATGACTATCACAAATAATAACTCTAATCAAAAGATATTTAAAAACAAACACATCAATTTTCGTTTTTTTACGATTGTTTTTCAATAGTTTCTATATTATTATCCAAATCAACTATTTGGATGTCTAAGACTGATTTACTAGTATATTTCAATTCTTTATTGTCTTGATGAAGATCTCGAATTCGTTTCAGAAGTTTTTTACTTTTAACTATTGCATCTCGGTGTTCATATTTTTCTTGACTATGATAATATTCAAGTATAGAACCATTTTAACCTGGTATTCAATTATGAAATTGAGCTATTTTATCAATAAGATATTGAAAAAATGTTCGACAATTATTTAATAAAACATGATCATTTCGATGATTATATAGATAATTATGTGCAGATTGAATAAGATTTTCTAATGCCTTGTCAGATTTAATTTGACTAATAAATTCAATTGTTTGAATATTTTTAGGTATTTTATTTAATTCAACAATATTTAATTTGATACTTTTTTCAAAACGATTGTTTACTATCACCAAGATCAATTTCAATTAAAACTAAAGGACATTGATCAGTTGATACTAATAAAAATGTATGACGAGCAGAGCCATCACCCGATCAACAACGTTCAATTGGATGTCCTATAGAACAAGTATGATCTTGTATTGCACGCCAACCAACAAATAGATGCATCAAACTAGTTAAATGTCAATCAGTAAGATAATCATCTTTGATATATAATCTTCAAATTTCTAACAAATAAATATTCTACTGTTCTGTAAGATCTTCGAAGTAGTCATCGTTTCTAGTTCAAGTATTTCTATAGTTGATTAGTTTTATGCAGCCGACATTATATTATGCAAAAGAGTTTTCTAACTTTGATCAATAAAATATAAAATATTCTTAGAAATCATAGAATAAAAAGAGAAATATTTAAGATAGCTATTCAATTATGGAATATTTGTTAACAAATTCGATATTGTTTATCGAATTTTATTTATTTCAATTCTTTTAAAGAATAACAAAGGAAAATCTTAATGTAAGAATGATAGATAATGTACTTATCTATTGAATATATTTCTAATAGATATCGAATTTCGAAGGCCAATAACAAAGTATATTAAAAAACATTATTTGGAATCTATTGAGAAAAAAATCAGTTTGAATTTCAGCATAACGCATGAAGATGAACAAAGGTACTCTGGTGACGATCATAGTTACATAAAATGAATGATATACATGAAAAAGTTCTCTGGACACAGAAAACAATATTGAAAGAGAGTAATAATTAAGATTTGTGGAAGTAATGAAGCTTCAATTAACCAACGAAGAAAGTTGACATATGTTAGTGTATGTTTCCTATTCACCAACGGAAACCATGTCTAGAGAAAAGCGATAGATATATAAGTCAATATCAATTTCATTTCTTTTTTCAATAGAATAATTATTAATGAATATGCATCTAAATGATATATGTAGGACCAGTTGTTTTCTAACAAATTATATATATTTATCCAATAGGAATAGAAGAATGATATCATTATCGAATATATCAATAAAATCATATGAAGAAGTAAACATTCCATAACAAGTTGAGTCATGAAATGAATAATAAGCCAAACTTTAATATTATTAACGCACGATAAGTGTTTATAGTCTATTGATAACGATTGAT